AAAGCAAAATTGTTTCTGCAATAAATCGAAGGCGTTCAAGTCATCGAGGCGGATACACAACGTCGCAGCGCCGTGGACGTGTCTTTGTTTGGAACGGGATTATGCCCACCGGAATCATCCACAATGGGATGGTAACGAATGCAATGTCAATCATATTATTTGACGATTGACCTTCCCCTATTCAGAAATTGTGTCTATGCGAAGGGGCAGACAAGGTTGCCTGAATCTGCAGAAAAATAACTTTAAAGGGTGAGCTGTTCATTAATTAAGGATCTAGATATTCACGTAATAAAGTCATTCCGTGGTTGGGCTCAGGGCCCTTGTGACTGAGTGTCCGTTCGAGTCTTTGAATCCAAACGACCTTCTGAAATCAGTCCGACGCTCTGTCGGTGAATCAAACCGTGAGAGATGTTACGTCTGATTTTGAAAGTTGGTCAAGGGGCTGTGGCTGCGCGGGGGAATGAATATCCAATCGTCAAAGTTCACTGATGGTTGGGCACTTGGTGCTTACAACCCACCGCCGTGATCCCCGTGCGCAGTCGCCTTGACAAGGAGTAATCGCACGAATTTGGAAATGGTGCCAGTTCTATCGTGCCTCGGTGCCACTTGCGGTCTGTCATTTCTTGCGCTGACTTCTGGTGAACGGCACCCCGCGACTTGTGACCGATGCAGAGAGCGGTCGATGACACGTTGTTGTGAGCATGATTTATAACTGCGAAAGCGCTCCAACGCGATTTGGGTCCGTCTGCAAGGACCGGTAGCAATTTTTTAGGTAAATCGGAGGCTTTGAAGAGACTCGCCCCCAAGTAAAGAGAGGGCGTGACCGGGTGCAGGACATTGGTTGGTACGGATCCGGGTCCCGTTGTCTGCTTGCTTCAGGTGAGCGCCGCACCTGAAACAAGCCAAAATGCCGCGGGCAGCCGCGTCGTGGTGTCGGTAATCAGGTTACGAGACACGTTCGAATGCCAACTAATCATCAAATGAGTGTGATTAGACCCAGCGGGGTCGCAACCGCCGCAACGGTCAGGGAGGTGTGCGCTCGATCTGAAAGCGCACGGCGTATGATGGAAGTCGGTTTGGACAGTTTGGCTGAGAATCGCGCATATGAAGCGGCGTGGAAAGATGGCACCGAACTGGACGTGTTAACGGAACTCATCAACGCCTTTACTATGAAACGTTTATGGAAACAGAGCAGGGAAGGGACAAGGATCTGGACGGTGAATGAATGGAAGGGCGCTAGAGGAAGCGACTTGCGGGAGACATTGATTAGATACGATGGGGTCAACGGTCAATGATGGCATGGCAATAATTAATGAATGTTACGGGGAATATGAATAACACATCAGGTTCCGCGGCGAGGACGAGGGGCAGGCCATCCATCGCCAGGAAATTGATGACACGGTGCCCACTCAGATTACCGTTACAGTAAGGCACGGGCACCAGCGTTGGCGTTCACCCCGTTTGGAGTACCTAGCCGATTGCGATTGCTTCCCGTACCCCGGCGTTTTTGAGAGCGTCAAGGGCGTCCTGGCCTGACCGACTGATATTATATTGCTCTATGATTTTAATCGACTTTCACGTCCACCTCCCAACCCCTCTCTCATGCAAAGTCACCATCCGCAACCCGTCATCCTCGTCACAGGTGGCACCGGTCTCGTCGGCTACGCGATACAGCATGTCATCGAGACCGAACCTGTAGGCTCGAGGTTCGGAAGGCGTGAAGGTGAAAAGTGGGTGTTCGTTGGGTCCAAGGACGCAGACTTGCGGTATGTGGCGAGTTGTTGCAGGCCAACTCCGACACCCCGAATGTACCTCTCAAACTCCATCACTTCCGCAGAGATCCGGCGCAAACCAAAAAGCTCTTTGACAAGTATAAGCCAACACATGTCATTCACCTCGCCGCGCTCGGTACGTCGTGCGTTGTTCTGGGTATCACTGATGCCTTCTGTGACACTTGTCGTCAGTCGGTGGTCTCTACCGTAATATGCGATACAAGGTAGGGGAGGCCTATGCGCGTGTCACATACGGTGCTTTTGACTTGCCGAATTCTGTAGCTTTCTTTCCTACGAGAAAATATGCTTATGAATGACCACGTACTCCAACGCGCACACGAGACAGGAGTGTCCAAAGTGCTCTCCTGTCTGTCGACGTGTATCTTTCCGGACAAGGTCACATATCCTCTGGACGAATCCAAGATCCATCTCGGACCGCCTCATGAGAGCAACTACGGATACGCGCACGCAAAGAGGATGGTCGACATTGCTAATCGGTATGTCGCATGTTAATACTCCTTTTCGACATTTCTGAAGAGCGGTAGCGCCTACCACGATGAACACGGATCCAACTTTACATCCGCCATCCCAACAAACGTATTCGGACCCAATGATAATTTGTACCGCATCTCTTTTCTTCGCCTGCATGTGGTTGGTGATGCTCATGCTCGGTAGTGATCTAGAAGACTCCCACGTCATCCCTGCTTTAATACACAAATGCTTACTAGCCAAACGTGGGTTTCGACTCTTGCGACCAACCTACAACTTGACACCCCTTGCTAGGCAATGATACGCCTTTCATCGTGCTTGGCTCTGGCCGGCCTCTCCGGCAGTTCATCTACTCCTACGACCTTGCCAAGTTATTTATCTGGCAACTGCGCGAATATGACGACATCGAACCTGTCATCCTCTCCGGTAAGAGCCCAGGATAGATCGGTGCTCCTGGAGACCCTGAGTGACATTTTCCCAAAGTTGGGGAAGATGAAGAGGTCAGCATCAAGCAGGCTGTTGATGCTATTGTTACAGCTGTTGGTTTCGACGGAGAGTATAAGGTACGCCTTGTGCGTTTCCCGGTGAATTCTGGGTCCCTGAGGTTAGTAGTTTGACCCCTCACGCGAGGATGGGCAGTTCCGCAAGCCGGCCTCCAACCAGAAACTCCTCGCGCTTCTTGGGGGTAAGTTCGAGTTCACGCCATTCAAGGATGCGTTGCGCGACACGGTCCAGTGGCTAGTTGAGCATTATGAGACCGATGCGAGAATCGGACGGAGAAACACGCGAACGAACGGGACGAACGTCGTTCACAACGGTGAAGCCTGACCCAGTGGGCGGAGGTGGAGCCCCTAAGCGAGGCGCCTGTGTTGGAGTGTAGGGACGAAGTATCTAGAGACGACATTTGGACTTGGGGATCGATTACAGTACAGCGTTGTGAAGAAAACTAGGTAGCGCACCCTGGCTGGCACCCTGAAACGGGACTTGCAGTCATGGGCTAATACAATGTACGTTCTGTCAATCAAGTCCCTCAAATTGCGGCATACCTCCCTAGCCGCTTCTTTTCCAACTCCTTCTGCCGTACTACGCCCAACCCTCATCGTTTCCTCCCTCATTCCACTTGCCCGTGCAATCCATGGCCACCCTTGCAAGAGCTACTCCTTTTGCCCTCCGTGACCTGCCATCCCCGGAAGAATGGCATGACCGCAAGGTTGCCCTGATCTCAGGCGAGTTCTTATCTTTCAGATTCGCTGGCGGGCAGATTGATCATCATGGTTACATAGGTGTCACGGGTCAAGATGGGTCCTATCTGTTCGTCTCTCGATTTAATCGTGTGACTACCGTCATTGGGCCATCCTTTATTCACCAGGACAGAGCTACTGCTCGAGAAAGGCTATGAAGTTCATGGAATCATCCGGCGTTCCTCCAGTTTCAATACTTCGCGTATCAACCATATCTTCTTCGATCAACACGAGCGTGCGCCTCTGATACCGTCACATCCCCGTTTTGTACGTTAATCATGAGGACAGGCAAGAACAAGTTTGAGCTCCACCACGGAGACCTCTCCGACAGCACCAACCTCGTATACATCATCGCGCAAGTCCAACCGTCAGAAATTTACAACCTTGGTGCGCAGTCGCACGTAAAGGTCTCCTTCGACATGGCGGAGTATACAGGCGATGTCGACGCCCTCGGCACCCTGCGCCTGCTCGATGCCGTACGCACCTGTGGCCTCCAGAACCATATACGGTTCTACCAGGCATCCACTTCTGAGCTTTACGGACTCGTGCAGTCCGTCCCTCAAGACGAGGACACTCCTTTCTACCCGCGCAGCCCGTACGGAGTCGCCAAGTTGTATGCGTTCTGGATCACGAAGAACTATCGCGAGGCCTACAACATGTTCGCATGCAATGGCATTCTCTTCAATCACGAAAGCCCTCGTCGTGGGCGCACCTTTGTAACACGCAAGATTACCCGTGCCGTCGCGGACATCAGCCTTGGGAAACAAGCCTGTCTCTACCTCGGCAATCTCGATGCGCAACGTGACTGGGGCCATGGTGACACTGTCTACGTTACGTCAAGATTCGGCTAGCCGCATCGCTGACTTGATTTCGCTTGTTCGTTACGCAGCTCGTGATTACGTCGAGGGTATGTGGCGCATGCTCCAGCAAGACAGGCCTGCAGACTTTGTCCTCGCTACCGGTGAGATGCACTACGTGCGTGAATTTGTGGAGAAGGCCTTCCGCGTTGTTGGTGTTAAAATAGCGTAAATAGATTCGCCCGAATGAATGGTCAACGAGGCGAACTGACTGAATTCTATCATACCATAGGTGGTCTGGAAAGGGGGTCGAGGAGGTTGGCAAAGACGTCCAAACTGACAGAATTCTGGTTCGAGTCGATCCCATGTACTTCCGTCCGGCCGAAGTTGAGTGAGTGCCAACATATCTTTCACTCTTTTGCATTCAGCTGAACACGACGGTACATAGACAACTTTTGGGAAGGCCTGCCAAAGCTGAGAAGTTACTCGGCTGGAAGCGTCAGGTCGATTTTGACTCACTCGTGAAGGAAATGGTAGAGGCTGATCTCGAGGCGAGCAAAAGCCTGGTTGAGGATCATAATTGAATTGACGCTTACCATCGCATGAGATCGGAATTGTGTTGTGTTGTCTATACGTACGCTGATTTGGAATGGATTTGCATATTGCGCCGCTAGATAAGTTTAAAATGAAATCTTAGTTATGCCGTCGTGGCGCAATGGCAGCGCATCACCTTCCTACGCTTATGGAACAAGTTTCCCAGCGCATGAGGTGGGGGTTGCGGGTTCGACCCCCGTCGACGGTACAATTGTTTCTGGACTCGTGGGTTATTTTTCTTGTTGTGGTGCGAGTGCCCGTCCCGTCCGATAAGTCGCACAACAACAACGACGCGAGCGATCGATTACATGAATGTCCTTGTATACGTCTCCTCTGCGTCTCAAGGGTTGGCGTATGCCTTGCGTTCCATTCTGTCGCCCTTCTATACCGTTCAGTCCATCACCCCTTTGTCACTAGCCACTCAGCCTTGGACTACCTCCTGTGCGCTTCTCGTTCTTCCCCCGTCTGATTCGCCTCATGCCCCCCCTTCACTGCCGAGGCCAGCTCATGAAGCTATCCAGGAGTATATCATTGCTGGGGGACGTATATTGTGCATTGGCTTAGGCGTCTCGGTTCTGCCGCATCGCCCGGCACAGGGTCGCTTCGATCTCTGGGACGTCAAGTCGGGCACTGCTATAGTTCCTGAGGCCCCCAAGGAGGATTTGACCCGTTCACCACACTCCTCTATATTCCTGCAAACGGGTAGGCTTCTTTCGGCTCTCCGGCCAGCTGGTGTTTCATTTGACTTAACTCGCGCTGCGTCCGAGAAGTCTAGTCATCCGCGGGCGTTGGGATGGGGCCCGTCAGCGCGGGTCGCAGGAAGTCCAGATATCCGTTGGATCCGGGTGTGCAGCGTTCTGGGGGGTCTCGCCTTTTCTCGATGAAACGGAGGACTGGGCAGGCATACTAGCCCTCCTCAGATACTCACTAACCTCCCTCGGGCTGTCCGTACCGCAGGAGATGACCCCCGACGGGTCTCCAAATCCATTACCCGTGACGCCGAGGTATCCCCTCCCACAGTTTCTGCTGCATTCGCCCGGGAAAGGATATATCACTCGGGCGATCTTGCAAGGACTGGGTCTTTCTGCCCCATTCGCCGCCGAGTCGCCCAGCAATTCGAAGCTAGGAGTGATCAAGGACAGGGCGGACACGTTTCAATTTCACTGGGCATCGACTCTCGAGCATGGCATGCGTCTGATTGCGGAGGCGAGGGGATCCACAGGCGCGTCGTCACATGGAGCGATAGCGACGGATGCGCTACGAATGGTCGTCGTTCTTCCTCCGGACATCCTACCCACAAAGGAGTTCACGCCAAGCTTTGACGCCGAGAAATACTTTGCCGTGCTCGCTGAGGTCCGCGGAGACCAAGCGGGCAGTGCAGACAGCTGGGGAATGGGCGAAGCTCTGTTCTACGGCGAGGCAGTAACGAGCACGCAGACGATGCTCGAGAGGTACGCCCCCGCTCCGGGCCCGTCTACGTAATGTCTTCCAAAAGCTACCCGAAAACGTCTAGAAACCCGCGCTTCCTGTCGGCCCTCCCCGCGCCGATCGTCTCCCTCGCGACGTTCCAGCTCGCAGGGCGCGGTCGCGGCTCCAACTTATGGCTCTCGCCACCAGGGTGCCTGCAGTTCTCCATCCTCGTCCGCATACCGCTGCGCGCGTCGGCGTTCCCCACGTCCCGCCTCGTCTTCGTGCAGTACCTCGTCGGCCTGGCCGTCGTTCATGCCTCCCGCGATAGCCGCGCGCTGGGTATTGTGCGCGGTGCGCGTGTGCGACTCAAGTGGCCCAACGACGTCTACATCGATTTGCCATCGTCCGCGGGGGGCGAGAAGAAAAAGGTGGGCGGAATCTTAGTAAATACGAGTTTCTCGGACGGGAATGTGGATATCGTCATCGGTGGGTCGCATCATCACCCGCAACGTGAACGGCCCGAACCGGTTTTGCCCACGAGCTAATGTATCTGATTTTTTGGGTGTCTGGGACAGGGTGCGGCATCAACGTGTGCACCCCCGCGCCAGTGACAGCGCTTTCCTCCTTGCTCTCCGAGCCAGGAGAATGGCTCGATGTCGAGACGATGCTAGCACTGATCCTGAATGAATTCGAACGCCTGTGGAGCGCATTCGTCTCTGGACGAGGTAGTTGGGTGTCCTTCGAGGAGGCTTATCTTGACGCGTGGATGCATTCGTGCGTGTTCCGCCCGAGCTTCATGCTTGCGCGCTACGCCACTGATGGCTTCTTCATCCATCCCATATACAGCGACCAACTCGTGACACTGACGACAGTTGATCCGCCTGTTCCCGTTCGTATCATCGGGATAACTCATGACCATGGATTGCTGCGTACAATTCCCGAACGCACAGGATGGAGCAAGACGATGCAACGTGGTACAGACGAGTATATCGACCTGCAGCCCGATGGGAATAGCTTTGATATCATGATGGGACTCATAAAGGCGAAGAAATGATGCCCAGGGATTTAGAGAACCAGTAGGTAGGTCGGAAAAGTGCGAGATGCATGCTCTCGCCAATAGTCATAACTCTAAGATTTGACTCATGATTACTCGAAAGACGAAAAGCATATTTAGTCGAGATATGGTACAAAAATGAGAAAGTGTGTTTTGTAGCCTGCGGAAAAACCACAACCCGAGATGATTAGTCTGCAAGGGCACATCGAGGCAATGGGTGAGCAAGCAAGGAAGTAACGACCGGACTTAAACTCAAGCGAAGGACAACCCATCCTCGACAACGTATCGTTGGCATTCAATTCGTCGAACACGTACTTGACAATGGGCGTTTTTGTGACCGCTTTCTCTTGCTTGGGTTATTTGTCCTTCGTCGATACAAGACGCCTCTTCGGTCTCCAGATCCCGAAGAACCCCAGATCCTTCCTGTCTCGGCATTCTTCCCGTTGTCCAGGTCAGAGCATCCAACGGCGGACTACGCAGCGCGACTGAGCAACTTCTCACCATGGACATGTATGCCCTCGCCCGCAGCACATCGCTCTATTCTTCAAGCCGTATCGGGGCACGTCGTCCCTACGACATTCAATTGATCATTTGATGTGCCGCCCTTGCGCAGTCTGGAGTGGCGATGCATGCATGAGATCCAGAAGAGGTCCCCGCTTCACAACTGTACAGTGTGGAAACGCAAAATCATTTTCCGTGGACGAGGGTCTGTGGTCCAATGGAGCACGGTTGGGACAGGTATATGAGGACAGAATCTGGGATCCGCCTCGGCGCAAGTTCAGCGATTGGAGAGAAGACCTCGGACCATTGAATACAAGGGAGAGCTTCGGCGAAGGCGAGAATGGCGAGGCATGAGGTTGTCGACGAACAGGATGGTGATACGCTGGCCTCATGGTTTCTTTCTTTGGAGGCCATCCAAGTGCAGTGGCGAGGTTTTCTCCGCATGTCACGGCATGCGGTGGGGAGACAGGATAAATTTATGGGAAAGGACCAGAACGTGATCAACAGCCTGCTGGGTTTATAACCCGAGCATTTTGTCGTCGTTTCGCTGTTTCGCTGTATGACCGAGAAGCGGCAGTTGGGAAGGGTGTTCCATCGGAGGCAAGGATGTGCTACTTGGTGTATAATCAATGATGGCGTGCAGGGAAGAACCAGAAGCGAGCGAGCGCCCGAATGCGTTATCTCAACTACGTTTCCCTCATCACTGGTTTCTTCCCCGACCCTCGCTTCCTTGGCCGTATCAACGACTAGTACGCCTCTATCAGCTCTTTCATACCATGGCAGCCCCCGCAGACTTTCTCAACTTTGTTGACGCTAACAAGGACCGGTTTATCGAGCGCCTTGCTCGCGCAGTCGAGATCCCGAGGTATCCACTAGATCACCTGGCATAGGCAGGACCCATACTAATTCACACAAGTGTATCCGGTGACCCTGCTCACCGTGACGATGTCTTTCGTATGGCGTCCTTCCTCGAATCGCAGTTGAGACAATATGGTGTGGAGACAAAAGCGGTCGAACTCGGCAGCCACATAATGGAGGGGCAAAGTTTGAAGCTTCCCCCGGTCATCTTGGGGAGGATCGGCAATGACAAGTCCAAAAAGACCATCCTCATTTATGGCCACTTTGATGTGCAACCAGTATGTCATACCCTTTCTTGACCCCATATCTGCCCTCGTACCTTCGTCTGTAGGCACAGTTGTCCGATGGCTGGGACTTCCCACCATTCCAATTGACCAAAGATGACAAGACTGACCGTCTGTATGGTCGCGGTTCATCTGATGACAAAGGTCCCATCTTCGGCTGGATCAACGTACTCGACGCACACCATTCTCTTAACAAGCCCCTTCCTGTTAATCTTCGCTTCTGTTTCGAAGGAATGGAGGAGTCTGGCTCCGAAGGCCTTGATGAATTCATCCTCGACGAGGTCAAGAAAGCCAAGGACTCTTGGTTCGACGGTGTAGATGCCGTTTGCATTGTGTGTGCACACTTCTCCATTTCCAAATGGCTTCTCACCGTGCCTTCAGTCAGACAATTACTGGCTCAACACACGCACCCCCGCGTTGACCTACGGTCTTCGCGGCATCTCATACTACAAGGTCACGATCTCCGGCCCTGCTAGAGATCTCCACTCAGGCGTGTTTGGTCGCATGGTGCACGAGCCAATGACCGATCTTATCGCCCTTATGAGCAAGCTCGTCAGCCCGCAAGGCGATATTCTCATCCCTGGAGTCGACGAGATGGTGCCTCCCGCGGACTACGAGGAAAGGCACGTGTTCTTCTCTACACGTTCTCTCGCGCCATCGCCGACTTGCCCTCTCTTCTGCACGTCTCTTACTGTAGGCAGCTTTACGAGAAGCTTGACTACGCCGTCGAGGACGTGGAGATCTCCGCAGGTGCCAAGATCACTATCTGTGAAGACAAGGCGTCTGTGCTGATGGGGCGCATGCGTTCTCCTTCGCTCTCTCTCCATGGAATCGAGGGTGCGTTTTATGGTGCGGGGGCCAAGACGGTCATCCCTGCCAAAGTGACGGGCAAGTTTAGCATTCGCCTCGTTCCCCCTCAGACGCCGGAAAACGTCGACCCGCTCGTGATAAAATATCTTTACGAGGAGTTTGCGAAACTGAAGAGCAAGAATAACATCAACGTGGACAATATGCACGGAGGAAAGCCCTGGGTCGAGGACTACAGACACTGGAGTTACGAGGCTGCGCACCGTGCGACAGAGGTAATTCGACCTGTCGTCC